ACAACATTTTTCTTGGGACCAAATATACGATTAGTAACAGAAGAACAAGTATAACACCTAGGTCGATTGCACAGAACGCAACCATATTTCTCAGTCTTTCCCAGTTTGAACCAATAGCTTGCTGATTGTCACGGCACCAGGCCGCAGTCGACATGTGCTGAAATATGGAACAAGTCTTTTCGCTCTTCTGTAAAATGTGAAAATATTTGTTCATTGTCTTTTGTCAGATGAATGATCTGTAAGCGTGAGTATAATTATACGATCTTCGTTATCAAAAAACCCTAGAACCAATACAAACTGGTCTCGAGATTGGCCAATGCTTCTCAAGTAACAATACGAAGATAGCCACGTCAAATTTTATGAAAATACACGTTGTTTATATCATTGCGTTTAAATAATTCAGAGAAGTTTATGTCTCAGATATATGTTTGATAACCCTTTTAGAATTGTAATAAGCGAGCACGGTTATTATCCGTGTAACCGTGATGGGAGTACAAGAACAACCCTTCGAATTATAGAAATAATGTAAGAAGAATACACAAATTGATGAGGAGAAAGAAGTTTTCCGTGACTCGAGTGTGATATTAATGACGAACATTCGGACGACATATTATGAATGGAAGTCCGGTGACAAATATATATGTAAGATTTCCAGTAAATATAGACCTGTTCGATTGTGTTGTTTCAGCTGGCCAACTTGAAATGTTTTTTATGTGTTCGGTGAGACATCCATGAGACTTCCTCAAGAAATCAATGTTTGCTTTCTGTTGAACGATTCGACACTGTATAAATTGACATCATGGGTCTAAAATAGTTTGTCAGCCCGTATAAAAGGTACTTCACAAAAACAAAACAAAATAAAACACCATTTCCTTTCTTTTACATCCTGTCAAGGCCACACAAGCAAGCTGACAGCCCGAGTGGGCCAGTCCATCGTAGGTATTCCAACTGAGGCTCGATTCCTTCATTCAAGCGTACATGGCCTTCGGCCTCCAAGCATGCACTTTTAAAAGAGCTGGCACATCCCAACACAACCCAGACCAATATTATCACAAAATTGCCATACAATAAAAAACAACAACAATCAATAAAAATGGGTTTGCAATTTGATCGTGATTGTTCATGACAATGTTTGCTGCTAAACAACAATGATACAATTTGCAAAATTATACAGATCTACCAAATTGATTGTTTATTAATGGTAAGCCTTCCTATGACGAGAGTAATGCCGGTATTTGCGTTGAAATTTATAAACATAGTCTACTAGACTCAGGGACTGTGTCTATACTTACCCATTTGTGCCATTTGGTATCACCAGTCCCCGAGTAAGGCCTTTGTTTCTATGAACATCCGGGGAATTAGTACAGTGTATATAACCTGGTTCTGCTAAATTACTGTTCGTGAATTTGTTTCGTACACCTAACCAGCAATATCGTTACCCATAACTCTTATACCGATCAGTTGACGTTATCGATAAGTGTACCCACAATCCTTCTATGCGTATCAGGGTTCGAAAAATCCCAAATTTTATAGTGCTAATTCTGTTTACATGTTTTGTTTACGTTGTAGAATTTGAGGTCAAAGTGAAGTTATACAACGAGGTATTGCTTTGCATGACGGTATATTTGCCGATTTTATTGAATATTCTGTAATCTGTCTGATTTCCTGACCCCCTCGTTTCCAGACCGGGGATAGAGGGACTGTCCTGTACCAAACAAATTCACGACCACTGTAAACCGCACAGTTATCGCCAGGGAGTACAAAGATAACACCTAAAAAGCGTAGTGATATTTTTTGCAAAATGAACAAATGTTCTTCTCATCAGAACCAATTTTCCCAAATCAACCATATTTACAAATCATCTTTCATACAATAGACACCAAAAAGAGAACTAACAAGACTTATGAGAAGAAGATATCCGACACTTCCGCCACGCACGTGTAATCACGGACTAGTAGTGTGCCACCATAATATGTACCTTGACCATTTGGACATTGGGAGAGACAACATTGATATACAACCTGATAAAACAACAAATTAAAACAAGAAATTCACTAGTGTTGTTTTGTTCTATAATACATGTAATGTCAAAGTTTGACAAATTATAAATTTTATAAAAGATTTTGTATCATATTACGGTAGCTACCGCTCCTCAACACAGGACGGACGGTGCGGTATTGATGAGTGATCGGACGACGGTTAACTCATTGACCTGTAAATTAAGTAAGAAAATAATATTGAAGATGAACATCACTTCCTCATAATATGTCCAGTATATAGTAAAGAGAGGGTCGTTTTATACAATGAAGCTGAAAAGATCATTATTCCCGACTTTACAAATCTGACCCCTGAAAAAAAAATCATAAAATTAATGTCAAATAATAATTTAAATTTAACAATTCCTCTGTCACAATATCTGAAATACAGCTCTGTTATTAGACAGCAGCACCTTTTTATATATCTATTATGTGTTCATGGAGTTTATAGTTTTCTTGGGTGTTTCATTTTATTTTATATTTCCGTTCCTAATTTCTAGTCTGTTTTTGGTTGTGCTTTAAACTCTTAGCCATTGTAATTTGGTCAATTTTTATTTGTAATTTTCTTTTGTAACCTTTAACCTCCTCCAGTTGTTATGAATTAATAAATACTAGCTTTCAACATTGACCATGTGAGTATATTTTATAGCGTTGCTCTCAAGCAGAGAATTCACTATATGCATTGCACTATATGTCAGTTGAGATCATCATCACACCACCTCCGGGTTGAATCGGAACGGAAATATGTCCCGAAGAATATGAGAATACTGTATATAAACTTTGTAATGTGGGTGTGGTCGTGTCGAGGACGAATTTCATTCTTATATCGTATATACATAATATCAAGATCCTAGAAAGAATTATTTATCTGTGCCTTTTCGTAAATACCAACAATACCATAACTTTATCCGTCTTATGCAAACTTATAATTCTACAGTATTATCGCAACTCGTCACATTTATTTTGTATGTTTGTACAGAAAATGCTTATTCGAACATGTAGTCTGTTGAGTTATTCAACATTTATTGAGAACACACAACATCCTTCGGAAAGGATGAAAAGGGTTACATTTTTTACATTGTCAAATTAACAAAACTCTCGCATAAATTGACTAATTTACTAAGCTAACAACTATACTACACCAAGATATTTACAAACTTTTAATTGTTGTACCATAATTCCTCAAGGGGCCAAAACACTCGCTTACCACGTGCATCTACGAAGTAAGTTGTGATATATACCAACGTGCATATGCCGCAATATACCACAACACAATACAGTAATTATTTGGCGAAAATGGTCTGCGTGAATTCCAAACTTTGTGTTATTTTCATCGTAATAGAGGTCATAGAGGTCATAGAGGTCATTCACGACGGTGTAATCGAGGATTAAAATTTGCATAAAAATGAGAGTAACGTAAATACCAAAAAAAATGTTGATAACGAGCCATGGTAAGGGACTGTGTAATATGAGTTGAGTGGGGATAACAAAAACGATAAACATTTTTTATATATTGTTTTACCAAACTAGTGGGCACTCGATCTAATGAATAGGGGCGAAACAAGTATATGTTTTTGTTTGTTTCAAAGGTGTGCATGTGTTTTGTAAGAAAGGGAGTTTGATGACCAAATATTTTTTTAGCGGAGATCTGTGAGCAATAGTTTAAAATAAAAGTAACAGTTACAGTTACTAGTAACAGTTGTCCTAATAATTGGTAGTCAGGTACAAGTTATATTTAGACGTGGATGTGGTTTCTAAAATATTGGAGTTCAACATCTCACAAAAAGAGTTAAATATAAACTCAACAACTTGAACAATAACATAACGTAATCTTGCAAATATTTTAAAAATTATCTAACTGCGAAATGAAACATTTAAATTGAAACTGGACGTCATTATAAACATGTTTGTATAAATGCAAAACAAATTGTGTTATGTCCTACATATGTGATACAACCAGCTGAACTTTATCGGGTTACCATGGAGACGGTAATACTTTTTTTCGTGCTCAAAAGAATTAATTTAGTAAAATCCCCAGCTCGTTATCAAGCCACCTGGAATAACAACTCTTTAGTTTGTTTACTTCTTGGCTGCTGACATTTGTCAATTTCAAATTTCTCGAAAGAAATTAAAATGGTTATATAGTAAGACAAACACAGTTGCGAAATAATAACGACATGTCTGAATAACATCTAAATAAACAAACTAAAAAAAAAATAGAAAAATATAACCCTCAAAAATCAGTTAAGCTGGAGATACGTGTTGCTGTCTGCAACAACTTTTTTTAATAATTTTGAGAGTGCTATTTGTGTTTGCTTTGTTTATTAAAATGTGTAGTATTATTTTACTTTTCCTCTGAGTACTGTATGGCGAACATGTCATTTTGAAGTACCAGTACTAACCTTCTTGATCACACCTTGATCACACTAACACCTTTCGTATGTAAATGTGAGAAGATCGCATTACACTAAAGGCACGCATGCCAGGCCACTATTCGGAGATGTTCGCAATGTGAATGTGGACGACGCCCTTGCCAGTTTTGTCTTCTTCTAATTCCAGCGACCATGTTTGTTGTACAAGTATAACCGACTTTATGAGTTTACACTTTCTACATGTTTGCCTCTTGGAAGCTGATCTGGGTGCTATTAAAACTGTCCGTGGTAGTTATTGTGTTTGGGATTGTGTTACGGTTTGTTGGTGTCCCATTACATTATGGCTGCGATTGGTTATCTGCAAAAGAACATAGTAAACAAGAACGCCGTGCGATTTTCGCGGCAAATCTGCAAGGACGCTGTATGCAATGTACTAGTAAACACTGATTGTTAGGGGTTTGTGATACGGCAATACGTCTGCTTGTATAACGTGTATTGTCAGTATTGTCGTTTTGAATAGCGAATCTCGGGAAATACCTGAAGATTATACCTTATCGTGTGAGGGCGGGCTAGCGTCGGCATAGGGGCAGCCATCTTTATGTTTGTGTACCAAGTGAGTGGGAAGTCATGACTTAACATATCACTCTTTTTTACGAACTTCCTGTGAGTGAATCAGTAGACCGCAACCACAGTCGCGCACCTTTATGCACCAGGAATACCTATTCGCCGTGGAATTTATGGATTTTGTGTACGATTTGGATAAAAAATCACAATGAAAGTCGTCGTGTGTTTTGGCGCAGTCAAAGTTGTAGTTCCATGCGGGAACGGGGAACTCTACGTGAGAGATTTGATCGAAAAAGCAATCCTACGTTACAAAAAAGCAACTGGCAAGGTGGGTAGTTTTAACAAAGAGTTTCTCCATAGGAATATACTATGATACTGTGTTGAAGGCGGTGATCGCTTACACTCTATAGTGATCATATTACTGTGACTTGTTTACTACTGACCCCCACTGTCTAAGTTGTTGATTTCAATATGGCGACCGTGCCAGAGAAACCAAAATAGTTAGACGCCAGTTTTGTCAGCTGTGTTTAACCCCACGACTACCCGGTATTACTGGTCATTGTAGTAGTTGATACAAGACTACAGCATGCCCGATTGAAGAAAACAACGATCGTCTGTACAGAAACGTGAAACCGTTGTTACACTAAAAATGCAACGCATTATAATTAACGTCTGTCAACACAGCTCTACTATGTGATATGCGTAATTAAATTGCCTGGATGCACTATCCCCTTCAAATTAGATATATTGTTCATCACAGAAACTCACGGATAGTTGTAAAACGGTTATGTTGTGTGTGGCCTAACTCCTCGACCCGATGCACTTATTCACTGCCAGGGCGTTTACTATCCTTTGTTACTTGTAGAATGACTGATAAAAATGCAGTACATTGATGGTACATAGGTAAAGGTCGTACGTTTCCCCTCTTATAATGTGTGGCAAAAGAACAATACTTATCAGTCACAAAAGAAACTACAATCAAGTTAAGTGAGCTTTTACGCACAACACCAGAAGTACAAAATGCAGTATTGATTTTAAGTAAACATAAATCATTGGAATGTCAATTGTTATAACTGTAAACTCCAAACATAGATTCCAACTTTACATGTGTATACAGTTTACAGTTATAATTAATTTATTGGCATATCACTGACTACAACTGGCATTAGTATGTAGTGGATTGCAAAACTGATTTATATTCCATGTTTCTGTATTCATATTATAAATTTAGTTCTGGGCTCTAATCACTAGTGTATTGGGGCATGCATATATTTTTAAAGCAATCTTTTTTTTGATTTGTAGCGATTAATTTAAGTGATTTGTTTTCTTAGTATTTGGGTTTAGGTACAACCATATTGAGATGAATCAATTAAATGTTAATCATAGTTGGAATGGAATGTCATCCATATTTAATTGTTCGATTTGTTTTCTTTTTATGTATGTATATATGTTCTTTTTTCTCCTACATACATTTCTCAGTTGTTTTCTCAAAAGCTCTAGCCTAATTTGCATTTGTTGATCTATAATCTGGTGGATAAAGTTAAAAATGCTACAAATTAAAAAAGAAACTTGAGGGTAACAGCACCCACCCCAAAATACAAACTATGGTTATTTATAGTTTAAAATGCACATGTCGCTGTTTGCTAATTTGTCTAGGAACTTAAAATATTTAATTTCTATTTTCAAATACATTATGTTACTTCTCCAAAATATTTCTAGTGACACAAATATTTCAACGTATTGAGCTCCTAGTGTGCATACATAGAATACCATCTTGTCTGATGTCAGTGGTTGTTCGGTATTTCACCAATTGTTCTATAATCTTTAGTGATGTGTATTTATTTCTGATAAGAGACAAATGCCTTGTACAAAGCCAAAAAAAATTATTAACTGGAGGGGGTATATCACATGTACATTTGTAAATCACAAGAATTCTTCAAAAGAAAATTCCTCAAAAAAAAAAATTCTTAACATTTACAAAAATTCCTTCACGATGTGTTATCCCATTGCTTACTGACTGTGCTGGTTCTGTGATTGTAAGAAATCATATACAAACGCTTAGTATAGAGTAAGAACTACTAGCTCAGACTAACAGTTCAGTATGAAAGAATAGACTTGATATTCATGAATATTCATTTTGGTATGTAATTGCCATTATGTCAAGAATTGTGAGTGCGTCCAGAAACTTTGTTCTTAAGAAAAGAAAAAATTGCGGATGAAAATCTACTACTTCTTATTACTGTAAAGCATGTTGAAAAAGCGGCATACTATTTTAGCGAATTGTGGTAAAATGACGTACTAGCGAATTGTGGTAAAATGACGTACTAGCGAATTGTGGTAAAATGACGTACTAGCAAATTGTGGTAAAATGACGTACTAGCGAATTGTGGTAAAATGACGTACTAGCGAATTGTGGTAAAATGACGTACTAGGGAATTGTGGTAAAATGACGTACTAGCGAATTGTGGTAAAATGACGTACTAGGGAATTGTGGTAAAATGACGTACTAGCGAATTGTGGTAAAATGACGTACTAGCGAATTGTGGTAAAATGACGTACTAGCGAATTGTGGTAAAATGACGTACTAGCGAATTGTGGTAAAATGATGTACTAGCGAATTGTGGTAAAATGACGTACTAGCAAATTGTGGTAAAATGACGTACTAGCGAATTGTGGTAAAATGACGTACTAGCGAATTGTGGTAAAATGACGTACTAGCGAATTGTTGATTTAGCAAATCTTTGTTGATTTCCTGTTTTCACAATACTTGTCTGCCATCTCGCGAAAAAGACATGTTTTACAGTATTCTGCAACTTGCACTTTCTGAATTTGCATTACTGGTACATGTAATACTCATAGAGCTGAAATGTATACCTCCCTGGTGACTGTTAAAAAAGCTGGAAATTTGTGTATTCTTAGTATATTTAAGAAGTCCTTTAGTCTGTGCTACTGTAACATGTAGCTCTTACTATGCATGGACAAAACTATGCCTAGCTGATATGCATACATGTTGACAATTTACCCGGTATATTCCACATCAGAGTGTATTCTGATCACAACTATCATTGAGTGAAATCTATTTATTAATTTAATATTTTACTAACATATTGTTTTTTTATAGTACATACATGTATATACCATAGTTTTTTAGCAGACAGTTGTTTTTAGATTTGTGTAATATGACACATGAATCACTAAAATGCTAAACACTAGGCAATGTATCATATCTCTGACTTTCGAACATGTAACCAATCTCAAATGTCATACACGTACATTACTGTAAACAGCTGTGAGTTCACATGAGATGAATTTTTGAAAATTTTTTGATTAATCACAATATACATACATGCACTGTGGCAGTGGATTGCATTGGTATTTTTATCACGAGGAGTCGCAGTGACTTCCGTTAATTATGTCAGTCTTATGTAATAGTGAACATTCCTAGCTGTGCTTTTCCCCATTACCTTCCATATGTTAATTTATTCATTGGAAAATTTGTTTGTTCGCTTAGGTCTCATTGTTTAACCTGAAGTGTTCATGAGTAGGTGCTACACTGGACACTTTATCATCTCATTACACTGCCTGAGAATAGTCAATATTATTAATATTGTATTTCAACAGTTTACTATGTACATGTGTTGTTACAGGTGTTTCCCCTCTAACAAATGGACATTTCATATCGTTTTTTTAGATTTAAATTTTTCAGTATTTAAAAAAACCAAAAACATGTTCATTGACATTGATTTGATTAACTCTACAACTAATGAAATAACTCAGACATTGCATAAATTAATCTCAAATTGACTCCACATGGATTTGATTAGAAGCACATGTTCAATAGAAATGTATGTAAATAAACAATTCTTGCTTTGACTATGGGCACCTCTGTCAATTACATAAACGCATAGACTACTAATATGGCAAATATGGTACATTGTATTTTCAACACGCCTAATTCTGATATAATGTATTTGCTCTCTCTCTTTAATAAATGCATATAAATCACATCCAATAAAATCAAATTTGTTGTATAGTGAATCATTAAAATATTATTTTGACCATTTACACAAGAGCATAGAGTGCAGTACTATTAATAGAGCAAATACAGATGCAACCAGGAATCCCTTCTTAAAAATGTTAGCATTCCTCGGATAACCCATTTTGTGCTGAGCTTTGAGTTCTTGTATTATATGTATAATTAATGAATAGCCAGCTCAGGATTTCTTGAGTTTAAAATTTCAGACCTTAGCAGTAATCATTGCTATGTTGGCATTGTTTTTAGTTTGATACACATTAAAATTTATGCATAGCAACAAAGATATATCTCTGCCTAGCAACACGTTTTGGTGTCATGATTGGATCTCTCTGTACAGCAATACATCAATGTATTATACCTATATTGTAGGTTTACCATGCAATAACATGCATATCTCCGCAGTGTGACACAATACAGGACAGATCAGAAATGCAAATGCATATCATTGACAGTTTGACTTTCAACACTTTTTTGCAATGTGGAAATATACATGATTTGTGATCATCACCTTAGTAGCCTAAATCTTAGCTTGTGGCTTGGATTGATATAGACTAGATTGATATACATGTAGACTAGATGTTCCCTATTACAGTGAGACTAATGAGAATCAGTCTGGACTCTGGAGGTAGGGTGGGTAGGCTTTTCATACAAGTCAGTCTGCACATGCAAGTTCAAATGGCAATGTACTGAAGTCACAATGTACTGAAGAGACAGATGACACAGAATTCTTAAGTGCCCTCTAGATGAACTGGATTCCATGCTAAGATTACTCCAGCAGTAATATCTTGTGTCTGCCAATGTCAACTCAGAAATATATCGTGGGAATTATACCAGTTTATAATTATTTGTAGTATTTTCATACAGCCACAAACTCATCTATTCATGTTAACAACCAGTCAACTGATCAATATCCATGAAATCAGAAATTAATACAAATATAAAATACAATGACTGAATATATATTATTGTTTTAAATTTTGTATCATAATTGCTTTGATGTTTTTATAACATGGCAATGTACATCTTCTGGATTCTCTGTGCATGGCATAAAGAATTGTTTCTCCACCATGCTGTAGAATGTGCAAGACAGTAAATGAAGAATGTATTTTTTGGGTTAGTGTCATATTTCTAATATATATATAATATTGTGGCCTCTAGAAGACTTTTAATGATTTGTTTTATTTGTGTGGCGGTACTACTAATATTCTGTTAAGTTCATAATTAATATGCATATTTCCTATTAGTTATAGATATCAGTTGATGGGAAATGGATACTTGTTTTTAATAACCAA